AACAGGTCATTTGGGAACATTGGCGATGCTGTTGAAGACAAGCGCATCCGATATTAAAAACCCTTGTATTTTTTGCTGCTTGTTGCAAGTGCTGAACAGGCTTCAACGTATAGTCTCTCGCGGTGCACCAACACCCATTGCTAGGATGTATTCACGAAAATTGTTAATTTCGAATATTTCGCGAACTTCGATTCCCGAAGAACAAATTAATGTTATCAGGATGGTTGAATAAAATGTGAACTGTTGTCTCGTCTGTGAAATGGATTCGAAACTTGTACAGTGTAAGTTTTTTAGTGCAAATTTTTTTGGAATCTGGACCATGACGATGTTACGGAATAGCTAAGTTTAATAGTGTGCAAGAATGTTCATAATAACGCTGATTCCAGTAGTACCGACAAATATCATCGAATTTCCCACAGTTCCTATGAGGTGAGTTTGTGATCCTCGTTCACTTTTTAAGACACTGAAGACCGTTTTGTTCTATGTTGCCCTGTGCTTAACGATTGCCTGCGGATTGCTCACTTTCACCCTAATTTTTCAAATGCTTATAACTACAAAAACGAAGGTTCTGTTATTCTTAATTTTCGTTTTATTTCGCTATATAGAATCACCCCTTAAATTCTCTAACACCTATTATCGAACACCCTGTATAGTGTATCCGTAAAAGATGAAGTTCAGCGCAAATATGGTGGCTATTATAATCGTCACCCATTAAAATTAATTACATCACCGAAACACCATAATTATAAGTTCGCACAAAGGGGGAGTTGGGGCATTTTGATGCAACAGGGCACAACAACCTTTGTTTATAGAGAATACCGAAACACCAATAGTATCTCGATTTAAAAGTTCAAAACATGACGACAGGATAGCATATACACGATCTCATCTGGTTATCATGTTTTGAACTTTCAAATGTTTATGGATATAGAGATACGATTTGTGTTTCATTGTGGCCTATTGCATCAATGTGCCCCAACTCCCCCTACATCGTCAATAACACATTTTGTTTAACCGACCTCAAATACGAAGTGAAATAAACGAACTTCGACATTCATGTACGTTCCTATACCACCAGATTGGTGAAAATGAACCACTTCAGTTTCAATTATCCGAATTTTTCAAGGCAATTATTCGCAAATTTCACAGATTCAGTGGCCATACAGCCTGCATGCGTTGAATTCTTCGGAAATCTCTGCGACGATAAAATTGCGGGACAATTCGCCCCAAGTGGTACCAGCCAACGTAACAATATATGCGACACAGATTACCAAGTGAAAATCGGTTGATTTCGTACGGGTGAATTAATCACAGTCTCGCGAACGGAAAAAAGCGATTGGTTCACGATGGATAAAAGATACAATGCGATCGCTCGTTCGGAATTCACCAACGCGAACGATCGTCGAATCGGCGCGGCGGGGCGCTGCAGGGAAGAACTAGCAAAAATCGTGGCACTTTATTAACCGTGGTACAATTTGCTTAGACCGTTTCATCTTCACCGAGGCGTGAATATTTTCAGACCATTTCGCGTGCAATTCCCAGCTAATTGGAAAAATGCGTTTTTTTTTTCGGTTCAAACTGTCTGTAAAAATCGCAACCCTTCCAAATTCCGCGAATCGTTTTCACCTTTCGCTCCATTCTCCCCCGTTCTTTTTTCATTCTTTCTGTCGACCTGCCATTCCAAAAAACGAATTTCGCTTTTATTTCTACTAGTGGACCGACGAACGGTAACGTGGTAATTATTATTCCATGAACGAACACCGAAGTTATATATAGGGCTTAAACGTTCCATGGGAGGTCGCGAGGACCGTTGGATCAGCAGTTTCTCCAAGTAAGGACACGAGTAGGAGGAAGAAAAAAATGTATCTTCGCGCAAAAGACGGTGAAAACGCGTTTCCCGGCGACGTAGAGAACGTGAGATACACGTATACTGGTTACCGGAGGGCGGGAAAAAGCTATAAACTCTATAAAGTACGGAACGCTGACTCAATCTTCGCGTTGGAGAACTCACGTTTCCCTATGTACAAATGGTACACTCCCCGGAGCATTGGTTCAATCGTGTTTTGTCGCCGAAAGATTTGAATTATACGATTATAAAACTGAACGCAGTTTCGCAAGTTCCTGAACTTCTCGACGCGGTGAATTCTTTCGATGGATATTCCAGATGAAGAAATAGAGTTCCGTTTGAATATGAAACGTTAGGTACATGGTGCTGTAACGAACTACAACATAATTTCGTCTGTAAAATGTAAAATGTTCTTCGTCTGTAATGTTAAAAATGATTTCGTCTGTTAAATATAAAATATAAGTGTTTGTAAAATATAAATTCTCTTATTGTTTATGTAGAAATTATTAGATTTAAAGTGCAACAGAACGTAAATAATTAGAATGTTCTCTTTCAAATGATATTTCATTTATTATACTAGAAATGATCGATTCTTTTGTAATGTCTTACTTAAGACTTTATAGGGATTTTTATGACACCAAATGAGATTCTGTGGCTTTACCAATGAAGCTCAAGTGTATTTTTTAACAATCTTATAAGAATTTACTAGCTCTTAATATAGTTGTACAGGGTGACCCATTTAAAGTGATACATCCAATTATCTCTTAAACTACTTGCTATGAAAACGAATGTTTCCAGTATAACCTGTTTGGCTTCAAGGGGACATTTTGTGGTGGTTACAAATCTTACCTAAATGGTCGTACCTTCGAGATTTCAAGGTGACCTTTGTTTTTATAAACAGAACCATATGTATGTATTTAAATAGACGTGTAGCCCGGTCCATGGTGAATTCATCGACCTATAATATGTTCGTGTTCCAAGGTCATTCAAGGTCAATTAAAAAAACAAAGGTCATTTTGTAATTTTGAAGGCACGTCCACTGATTTATTTTTTGAACGAAGTCGAGCCTCTACTTACAAGGAAGGTTTCCCAACCCGAAGACGCCGATTTCAATGAAACTTCGTACGTTTGTTAAGCAAGCAAAAATAAGGGACACGTATTTTGTTTATCGGTTAACATTCACTTTAAGGGGGTGAAACCACCCCTCAAAATTTATCTCGAAAACCAAAAGAGATACATGAAAACTTCTAATGGGCGAGTTTTATGGTTTTTCATGTAAAATAATATGGTGCTAAAAAATTGTTCAAAATTATAACAAAAAAATGTTGTATAACTTTATTTCACAACTTATTCAAATTTACGTAATGACAAAAAGTGACGAGCATTTCATTCCAAATCCATTGGTTATATACATTTATGAAATTACCTCCTACAGTTAAGCAAATTTTTATTAGTATACATATGTATAACCCGCTGACAAGGAAAGTTTCCCGACTCGCCGATTCTGATTTTAATGCAACTTTGTGGGATTGTAGAGGGCATCCAGTTATGCAAGAAACAACTTTTTTTGGCTGACATTCACTCTAAGGGGGTGAAATCACCTCTTAAAGTTTGCCGAATTTATCGTTCTTTCAGTATATCTTGTTAACCGTAAGAGATAGGAAAAAACTTTTAATGAGAAAATTGATTGATATTAAAAGACCTATCGAACTGCAAAAGAAAGAAATAGATATACAATATATACACATGTGTATATGAGATACATCTAATACAATAAGTAATGACACCCATCAATAATTGAATAATGACGAATAAAATCGAAATTGAATGTTTACACAGGGTGTTCCAAAAATAATGATACAACTGGTCGGATGGTGATTTCACTAAAATAAATAGTGTGAAAAGAAGAATAAATTTCATTCGTTTGAGGTTTCGGTTTCGAGACAAAAATTAATCTGAAACGCGTGCATACATCACTGTACTTACTAGAAACGGAATGCAATGAACAAACGCACTAGCAAGTCTTGTTCAAATACACGTGTATCTAGCAGATTTTCAAATTCGATTATCTCTAAAACGAAGCCTTAAATAAAAAAATATTATTCTTTTTTTTGTCGACTTCTTTTTGCATGTAGAATCAGCATCAGGCCGGTTGTACCACGATTTCGGAGACACCCTGTATATTTCACGTATATTTACTAAAGATGGCGTGCAAAATCACTAACGGTGATTTATCACAGTGATCGCCGAATCACGATCACGGTCGTGATTTAACTTCATTTACGACCGTGATTGCGATTTTTTTATTTTGAGTGAATTTGCTCACTGCGATCGTAAGTCCTTGATCTATAAACAGAAAAACGTATTCAATATGATTTTACGATGAATTACATTACTATCCATCCGTGTTTGTAAAAATCAGTAGAAAAAACAAGAAATTCTAGAAGAATGCTTTGCTAGGTAACATTTAGATTATAATTTATAATCATTAATTTATTCATTCTTCTTCATTGTTTCTAGTTATTCCTTCACTTTATACGATATAACTCGAATTTGTGTTTTGATGTCGTTAACATAAAATATACAGATTATGTGTCGCGTGTAAAAAAACTGTTAGGTTTCTCCACCAATCAGAAACGATCACGAGAAATCACGAATCACTGTGAAAAATCACCGTGATTGGGAACGAACGTGATCGAATCACGAGTGATTCACAAGTAGCAGTGCACGCCATCTCTAATATCTACCGAATAACGAGACAAATATTTCACATAAACGGCACATACTCTTAATAGAATCGTCCACGAAAGAAAATCGTAAAAATACCACGGCGACGATTAAATAAGACGCGCGTATCAAAAAATAGTGGTGCATAAGCGGAAGTGGTTTTTAACGGGAAGGAATTACACTGTGTACCTTGGTGAGACGTTCTATGCCAGTGAGTAGCGATAATTCATCGGTCTCGAACAGTCCGTGGTCGAAACAGTCCGAAAACGCTTTCGTATATTTCCGTAAAAATCTCGTGCCCGTTTCTCCCGTAATGGTACGCCGTTGTACGGCGAAACGATAAATCATTGTGAGCAGTGAATCACATTGTTAAGCTCGAGGAGGTCGAAGATTCGCCTGGACACGGGGTCCATTTTATTCTACGTACCTTCGACGAACAGGAAATATCCTTCGGGATTCTTCGCCAGTACACGAAGCGCCTTTATAGTCATCTCAGCCAGCGAAGGGTCACCGGTCCCGTTCGTGTTTCGGTCGACGTCGAAGTCCATATGGGAATAGGAAAACAGTCCTGAAATCATCGGACGCCGTGAAACGTGGTGAGCCACGGAACTTTCAGTTGTATAACTTTTATCGATTCTGTTCTATCCGTGATCGAGTCTCCGGAACATTCCTGTCGCATCGCAAGGCAGGCTACAGCGAATATTTCGAAACTAAATGTGCCGAGGAATCTGATTAACGCGATTGTATGCAATTCAAGGAGAAATTATGGACCATTAATCGTAGACTGCGGATTTCTTCGCGTGTATAGCATAAATATGCCGCCGTGAATGAGCGAAAAGCAATAGAATAAGTATTGCGATATAATTTCGTGAAGTTTTTTTATTGATTTCTATTCGTTATAACTGTACATTAAATGTTTGCAAAATTTATAAGGACGTCGCATTTAAGGGGATATTCTAGTCTGAAATATAATTCTTTTTAGGTTTTATTGGAGGATTTGTGTACAGAGAACTCGTAAGACTATTTGGTATGAACTTTTTTAAGATATTTTGAACGTATTTATGTTTTAATAATATTCACCATTTTTGTTAAATGAAAATAATCAAAATTTAGTACGGACCGTTAAGGAAAAGTGTCCTAGTAGATGATACCATGTCAGCCGTTCTGTTTATTTGAAACGAAAAGAATGACAAAACGGTCGTTGATTAGTATGAGTGTAGTTATGGCATGAACTGGCATGAAAAGAAATAAGTATTGCAAATTTAAAAACTGTGGTAACTCTTTGAAATTTAAATATCCACTTTCTCAATTTTTCTCGTGTTTCGCGGGTTAAAAAAATCAGAAGGAATTATTTTTTGGTAATGTTGGTTCATGCGATAAGGGCTCATCTACCGTACATGTACACTGCGTGTGAAGTCAATTACAACTTGAGATATCAGGTCAACCATTTCAAGAAATACCGTTTTGAGAAAAAAACGCGGTTTAAGCTTTGTATGCTGCACGCTGCAGGTTGTGTACCGTCTTCTTTAAAATATGATTAATTTTTTTAATTTTACGAATTTAGGTAAATCCTTTTGTAGACACACCTTTGAAAACCTATATTTTTAAACAATGTAACAAAAACTCATTTTTTGGTAAGGTCTAGACTAGAATACACCCTCAAGTTACTATTATGATTTAATGTCATTTTATGGACGAGATATTCAACTCTTGCTAGACAAATGGCAAGAGATTGTTATAAATAGGGGCATTTATTACGAATAACAGATGTGGTAGGAAGTGTTTCATATTAATAATGATTTTAACGGAAAAACGGCTGTTATTTTTGTACATACTTAATAGAAATTGAAATTTGTATAAACATCTGCAGTCTGTCTGACTATGCAAAACAATTATGATCTACGTAAATATGAAATTTAATCCAGATTAAAATTTTATTCCTGTCAGCGGACAAGTATATCTATATAGTTTCTTTTTAATATTTAATCCGCAGAAAGATTTCGGTCCCTTTGAAGTGATCAAAATTTTAAGATACACATTTTGTGAAAATTTGCAGTAGAGGTATTCGCGAAAGTTTCCGTTAATAATCCTTCCAATGCTTAATTATACAAGCCACTAGTATACCTTATTAACCACTCTTCAACGCAATCAGCAGCCCCGATCGATAGAACTTGTGCGATCTCGAATTCAAACGTTACGTCGATCATAATTAGAGCGAACTAACTAAGAGCTAATTATGTTCAAGGATTAATACGATCGTACACGCTACATAATTCCCGAACGTTATTATGCACAATCAGAATTATTTAACCGGATTAGAACTAAATAATCAGCTTCACTAGAAACGTGTGAAAGCTATTGAATCGCAAGCAAAAACAGATATACTGGGAGAGTCAATGAAAATTATCACTTGAAAGAAGTCGTTATCTATAGACCTTATTGAAAACTATTTGAAACGACATTGATTTGATTCGGAGGGAGGAGGAGGGGGAGTTTCAAAAATATAGTTTACTTTTTCAGTACCTTATATAGTTATGTTTTTAGTAGTTATATTTTTGAGATATCAAGGTGACCTTGGGTTTTTAAAATTGCACCCTATATTTTCTTTGGAACTCTGTTGTAGCCGTTAAAACGACAAATTCAACGACCTGTAATGAGGTGACTTTCAGTTGATCTTGAATTTCACAACGAAACGAACCATTATCATGTTATATGAATTATCTTATAGTATGCTAAATTACAAAAGATATGTTTTTCCAGTTATGAGAACTTCAAAATGCAATAATTTAGTGCTTCGTTCTAATGTAACATTGTGCAATAATCATATAATATTTTAATTTCTGTTTCTAAATGATCTGTTGAGCGTTCCTAGAAACTATATCTGCTATTACCTCGGACACGCTATCGTCTATCAACATCACTGATCATGTACACACACGGTCTGCCACAAAAGTTCCTGAACTCAAATTAAAACAGCCATTTTCTGATAATTGATGACGCTCTTTATTATGAAATATTAAAAATGTTTAATCTTTTGAACAGATGTACTGTTTACAATAATTATGAAAACTCTAGGAATGGTTCTGATAATTCTTCTTCAAAATAGTAGAAAGGACCACGGTCGAAACTTTTGGTTTCACGAGTCGAGAGCTTACATAACATTTCAATCTCAGAAGTTACATCACAGTTTTGTCTATCCACCGTATTCGTCATTCAGCTGCATGAAACTAACTCCTCGCAACTCAAATTGGAACGGGAGACAAAGAAATGACAATCTAAAATCATGTTTACATTCACAGGGCTTCGATTACTACTTTTTCCACCATTCTGAAGAAGATATACCTTAGCTACTTTCAGTGTTTGTATAATTATCACAAGCAATATTTCACACCAGAAATAAACTAATTTTAGTAATTGTTGATAAAAAAAACATGAATATAATATGAAATATTGCTGTGCTAACTTCAATTTGGAAACTTTTGGTACAATCCAATTCCTCCCTCTCGTGTCAATCATCGATAGAAAAAAAATTGGTATTTCTGTTCGTTACCGAGTAGATGGCTCACTTTCCGCGGATCAACGTTCTCGAACTGCTCCTTGTTAGCGACGTATTTCGCGGCCACATTCCGCAACCGGTGGTTCCTGGACCATTCCTCGATCAGATTTCTTCCGTCCAATCGTCTGCCCTCTTTATCCGGCTCCTCCGGGTCCTGGATCACTTTCGGGACGAAATGACGCCTGCCCCCGCCGAGAACCACCTACGGATCGATCGGTGACTTTATTGCTGTGTATTTTATCGGACCGGATAAAACTGGATTTCGAGGAATAAAGTTGGACAATTGGCGATCATTTGAGGAAGAACCGAATTCCGAGACGGATCGGATCTGTGGCATTAACATTTGGCTCCATTCGAAAGCACGAGAAATCTGTTTCGATCGTCTGATTAGTCAGTCCTACGGAAATTCTCGAGACTTTTTACGAATGATTCTAATAGGTCTTATAAAAAGGTACTTTTTGTGCATTTAAATTGATTTCTTTTGCGATGTGTTTATTGCCACGTTTATCTTGGAAATGCTGGATATTAGCCATTTTGTTAATAAAATACTGTTGGTAAAACGATAGAATTTTCATTCGAACTTACTATTTATGAATGTAGTTTTATGTGAGCTTATGGCTCTGAATAATGTGTTTAACTCAATTCGTCGTAATTCGAATTCGTGATTCCTAAAATTTACGCGATCCACTTTCGAAAGCCATTTGTTAATTGAAAGCCAATCATATTGTGTTGAATATTGTCTATTATTTCTTTAACAGTTTAAAATAGGTATGTATCATCACATGGAATATTCAAGTTGTAATTATACAGCAAATAGTAAATCAATTAAAATAAAAGAAAAACTTTTTCACAGTGTATCACAGATACGCATGTGCTGTGAGTTTATAATATCGAAAATTCAGTAATTTTTTTTAACCCTTACTAAATAAAAATTTGCCTCTGCTTTGTTAGTTTCTCCTGGTCTGCTCTTGTTAATATAACATTCATTAATAATTCAAAATACGTCAAAAAGGTCAAGTATAACCAGTTCACAGTTTGTTCTAATTTTTTTTCGCGCCTTTCATTCTCGAAGCGACTGTTTTCGAGAGTTCTCATACGTGCGCTCGTGTTCCATCGGACATCGTAATCCCAGAAGCAATTTTGCAGAATATCAAAGTCAACTGAAGTGAAGCGTTCTTTTCGTTGCCTCCGAGATTTTCCATTTCAGTGATTGTAGGATTTGTTTCTTTCATTTTTTTTACAGGTATTAGAAATAGAAGTCGCGTGCAAGGAAGACTCCAAGCACGCGACCTACATACATCGCATGCTTTTATATTTTAACGTCACCGGTGAAAAACGTGCACGGGAATTGTGTAATATTTTATAAAACTGTCGTCTCGAATAAATCCGAGTAAATAATTCTGGGAATTGCCAACTTAATCATGAATTCCACGGAATTATTAAAAAAACGAACAAACAAATTCAAAGAAATTTTAAAGCTTATTTTGTAATGCTGCAGAAATAATGTCTTTTTTACAGAAGACTTCAACTTTCAATCCACTTTCATGTTGATTAACATAAAAAGGAATGGTACAATAGAGAATATTAATTAGAAAGTAAAATACCACAGATACTAGCGAAAGATATTTAAAATTGCTAATTACGTAAAATCCACATAAGATTATTTGGTGCTGTTCTTCGTTCTTCCTCATAACAGTTTTTAGTTCTGTATAGCAAAAATGAATGGAAAAATTTTGTATGAAGTTACATACAACAATTATGTAACCCAATTTTATTAGTTTATATTAATGTTTGATAGTTTCCTTGGCGGATCTCTTTAATTCCTTTTACGATCCTTTTTCTGATATGATTTCATTCAAATTCGAATGATTTCAAGAAACGAATAGCTGAATGTTTTGGTGCTCAAAGCTGCAGTGCGACATTATCATAATAAAACATTGAATTTTTAAAAGCACCAAATTTACATAAGTAAACTTCGATAACTTCACATTATTTTCACAACCGCTGATCTTCTTCCAGTTAACGAAGTTTATTCAGTTTCCATAAGGAGTTAACCAAACATGAATTCCTTTCCGATTTATCCAGTTTTTTTTATTTCGGTACTAACACTTGGCGTTAATTTACACTTTACGTAAATCACGTAAATTAAATACATATTCTGTCAGCTGTAAACCTACGATCCAAACCTCGTTTCGGATTTTCACTTCTGTCAGAGCATTTTAAAATGTTTTGTATTGTTTTATTTTGTATTGTTTTAAGTAAACTTTATTTGAAGTACGTATAAATGTATAAAAATCAACAATTATTTAAAGGATAAACCTCTTCTTTGTGATTTCTCATTATTTTGGGATTAATATTGTAAATATTCGTATTTCCTTTCGCAGAAAACAATTACACTATTTCATACATTTGGTTAATTACTCCAATCAATTAAGAAACATCGATAATGGAATATCAAATTTGTTTCAGTAATAGAATGAACTCTAAACGTTTAAAGTTATTCATTGATGAATATTTTACTATTCAAAGGAATTCATTTATGAACACATACACTATCGGTCATAACTATTACGATATCTAGTCTGTGAGTAGCAAACGTGATGTTTCGTAAAAATGATATATTTTAAGTCACATTTATTAGTTAATAATAGCATAAGCGTTCTCCATCGATCTCTAACATCCCCTAAGGATATTTAGTTCAAACCTTCAACTATTTTATAATTCTTGTAACGTTTCTGTATTTTTGTTAAGTGTCCTAATACGTATACGAATGTATCGACAGTTTGTCCAAGAAAACACGAAATTTATGTAATGACCTGATACAAATATTCCAAACTGAATTTCTACGATCGAAACAATTTATTCCAATCATTTATTTATCGTGAAGGATAGTTCTGAAAACAATAAAATACGTAATGTAATCACGTTCAAAAGTTATATGGCAACTTTAGATCCGAGCTGTTTCAGCAAATATGAACTGAATCCTACACGGAGGGGAGATTTCTGTGTGATTTTTTTTTCTAGAAGCGGTACAAATTCGCAACATGTCACCGGTCGTTACTCATAAATTGAGCATATAACACATATTTCCACATAAGTTTTCGGTTTTAAAAACAAATGGTTTGAGAAATTCAGCTAGTGAATTCCACCTCTAAAAAAAAAATTTTCAAACCCAATTTTTCCGAAAAAATGAAACAACCACAAAAAAATTTTTGTCAAGTAAATTCAATTATTTATTTTTATTTCTTGAACAAGTACCGTTGGTTGCGCTACTGTTTCTTAAATTACTCCTAAACCACACAATCGTACCATCCGCCTGATCAACCCCAGCAAAATAAATTCCACTCGTTGGTCCGATACGGCCACTGAATCGGAGAGCTTCAATTCAACCGGCAGAGTTATCCCGCACACCTTTAATTCCTTCTATCTGGGGGGGACTCCCCCGAGAACTCCGACCAGGCTGACTTTAATGAGCAGGAAGTTTTGCATGGGGCTTCCCTACAAAAGCTATAGCCGTTTTAACGGCAGAGTAGTTTTTTCTACTTATATCGATGCTAGAATTCCATCGAAGAGCATTCAAAATTCCAGATTAAACAGCCTAAAATATAAACTTTCGTTGATTTTCAGCATGCTCAACCGAATATTGTGAGATGTCTCCATTCCTCTTCGTAATCCTATTGTCGATCGTCGAAATAATTCTACAAAATCTACTCGATATAACTCAAAATAGAGTATATTCCTGATAAACGCTCGAAACTCAGGACCGTTTGTGAGTATTTGTAAAAGACTGACACAAATTCTGTCCCTCACAAATTTATCTCATTATTCATAATTTACTTCATTTATTAACATATTGGTGAGATTTTTCTGACTAAAATGATACCAAACACGATATAATTTGAATTATATTTATTTGTTTCGTGTAATTAATTTTCCTGGATTATCGCTTTTAATAGATTACAAATAATCAAAATTATATCGTGCTTGGTACCATTTTAATCAGAAAAATCTCAGCAATACGTTCAAAAAATATTCATTCACAAAGAACCACAAACAAAGAAGTTTTATTGTTGCATTTGTAATGTTTCATCGATACGCAAGTTTTTAATCCTTTTTTAACTCCCAACTTTTAGCGGTTTGCTCGTGGAAGGTTTCAAGGAGGACCTGCCTAGTGGAGATGGAGCAGAAGTGTTTAAGGTGGTATTCTTCCCGAGTATTTATAAAAATTCACTCTACTACTACCGAGGAAACGATGAAACTTATCTTCCGGATAGTTCCGTTTTAATGAGGTTAACCGAAGCTATGGAAAACTAGGCCTAAGAGGTCGGACAAACTTTAGTTACCAAAAGTGTACGGAAACAGAATGTAATGCGAAATGACTTGGAGCGATCATTCAATTGTAATATCGTTTAGTAACCTGCGGTAGGGAGTAAATTTTTAGATGTTCGTACGACCTTTTGTTAATACTTACTCCTGCTATAATACTAATATATCTAGCAGTAATTGGTGTTCGAGGAAAAAACTTAAGATATTTTCAACGTGACTCAATTATTCTGGAACGATCTGAAGTTATGACTGACAATAAGAAACAAAAAGATTTAAATTCGACAAATTCAGAATCGAGATGCTCGAATCAGACCAATCTAGAACTCAACTGAGAACGAACTAGCACTGAATAACAGGAATTCGTTTAATCAAAAATCGACAGACTCGTATCGATTCAATCTGGCGCGGAATGCAGGAGTCTAACTACTCCAGGAACGAACTAGTCGAATTGGACCCACCTAGGACAGGGATAGAACAATTGGAGAAATGTAACACACTGAAATTGAAATCGGCCTAACTAGAGGATCAGAGACACGAGGCGGGCTAACTCAGCATTTAGAAACATCTCTGGAGATCCATGGCTCAAGATAACCACGTTCAAGTATTCCTGGATCAACCTGAGACATTAGACCTATGGCCCTCTTTAGGTTTTTGAATCGGTGGACTGCGAAGTGGTGGGTAACCTCGACCTTGGATTGGTCCCATTGCTATCTCTAATTCTTGAGTTTGTCCAATTCCCTCGGTTCCAGGTTCATCCGATTCAAGTCCCTCTACTCTTAATTGATGTTATTCTTGTCTTACAAGCCCAGGTTGATTCCAATATTTTGGCTCAATATTGAGTTGATTTGAATCCCTCAGCTCTGGATTGTTCTCCTTCGAGTCTTTCACTTCTGGGTTGCTGTCATTCAAGTATCTGCGTTCAGGATTGATCTGATTCCAGCCGCTCAGATCTAAGTAGGTCTAATTCTAGTCCATCGATGTTCAGTTGGTCCGCAATCAATGTTTTGTTCTTGCATTAGTCTGATCTGAGCACCCAGATCATCGACTTATTCGGTTTAAGAATTTCGACTCCAAGTTGGCCCAACTAAAATCTCCACGTTGAATTACTGGAATTAAATCTGACGAATAGGGTGGATGCAAGAATTTTTTTACTTGCTTTTCAGCAAAAAATTGATTCACTGTTGTCGAAGTTTGAAGACAAGCCACCACGGTCCACTTCGGAACAAATTCGATTGTACTCGTTGGATTCTTCTGAGAAATCGTTTCATTACTTCTTTGTAAAATGGAATTCACCCTATTCGCCGGAATTAGCTTCACCAGACTTCTGTTTACTCCAAAAATGAAATTTCAAATGAAGAGAAAATCATATGAGCACATTTCTGAAATTCCAAGTACCGTAACCAGTTGCTTAAAAGCCATCCTGAAAATCAATTTCCCTAAGGCCTTTGAAGGACTTTTGGAACGTTGCAAGCTGTGTATTAAAAGGGGGGAGCTTTATGTAGAGAATTATTTACTAAAATTTGTTTATGTGAAAATCATGTTTCTACTAAATTATTCCGAGCATTTTTTAGAAAAACCATGATATACATTTTGAACGTTTCGAAGTGATGGAGGAAAAGAAGTTACACGCTATCGTGTCCTGTCTGCTTAATCTTTGCCTTTTAACTTGACATTTTATCCATCAACAGAATAAAGTGTCGGGGTAAATAGTGGAAGAGCAAAAATGTTAAACTTATTGTTTCTTCGTGAGCTCTCATTCAACCGAAATCACTTGTATTGATCACAAATGGGAATAACCGAGGGGACATTTTTGAGACCGAACGCTACGATTTTGTAAGTGCATTAGAGAGCCAATGCGTACGAGTATTTCATCGTTCTCAAAATCCATTGTCCGGCAGAGAACAATTTTTCAGATTCGAGCGACGATTTCCTTTTTCATCTATCGCCGTGCTATATCGAATAACCTCGAAACATCCATAATAAATTGCGTGATGGTACCGTGATGCGGAATTTGCTATTCACCATGATATCTCATCCGCGGCGCGAACGATTTGTTTTAATTCGGAATTTTTTAACGTTTTCGCCCCTATCGAATATTTTTCGAACACTGGCGCACGCGATCGGAACGGCATCGAACGCATACATGGAATTGTTTGCTGATATATTTTTGCCCGAAGCATTTTTAAATCAATAATGGGAGATATTACAAATTTTCATGCCACGCATTTCATGTCTCGCTTTGTGTAATGAGAATAATAATAAAATAACGACTAAAAATATTCGCTTTACATGAAAAATATTCGCGTGGATCAACAGTTTAAAACTGTAAACTGTAATGTTATATACATAATAAGCCTAATAAATTAATGATATTTTTGTCACGATTGAATATATTTGCAAGAGATTCGAGTAAAGAGAATAGCATATGCGTGCAAGAATTATCCTCACTTAAGGTTCGTATTGTGGTTTAAACACTATATGACGTGCAGTTGACATTAATAATTAAAGGAATATACATAATACATAAATTAAATCTTCTCCAGTAATTTCAATGCAATCTAACGATTATAGTACACTATGTATGTTTAAAAATGACCATTTCACTCCACTGGAGATACTGAACAATTCATTGATTGATTTTCACAAAAATTAGTGTTCTATTCTAATTACAAGATTCGTCGATATGAATTTTTAAATATGTAATAAATAATTGGGTTGAATATATCGAAGGCACATCGTTTGTCTGAAAATTTTTGCGACGTTTGTCCCATAGCAAGATTTCCTTCATCATTTATTATACGAAAAATTAACACTGAAAATTGTAAGACCACTGTTTCATGCTGTTCAAATATTAATGTCAGTAACCATTGTACAAGTATAAACCAAAGACTGGAATAGAAATTCTGAACTTATGGACTCCACGTTCGATATTCAACGTTTCCTGCTCCATCACTTGTACTTCAAATCGCGAGGCGAAATAAAACCCTCGGAGAATCTAGAGTCTAAAGGGTGTCTGTTGTAACTGGACCAGGTGGAATATTTCGTAAGGAACTGAAGATACCACAAAAACTTTCCTATAAAAATTGTTTTTTATGGAGGTGGATATTATATACCATAAATAATTTTTTTGTAGATATGGTAGTGAGGGAGATATCAAGGTCAAGTTAATATTTTTAAATAAGATACTCTTTTTTCGTCATATTACGATAGGGTTTATCGAGACGAATTCAACGATGTTTCACATCAAGTCATTAAGTGTAGTAAGATGTCGTAAATTAGTGAGGTGATAAGTAGTCGGATCAATGAGAATCCCGGGTCTAATGTGACTCTGTAGCACAGTTATCTAGGGTTTGGTAGCACACGACGTGTCACCATGTTGATCTAACTCCTTCGACTTTCACTAACTTACGATCTCCTACTACACTGAATAATCTTACATGGCATATCGTTGAACGTGTCTGAACAAACGCTATCATACAAAGAATAAAAAAAATTCCGTTAAAAAAAAGGTGACTTGACCTTGGAATCTCCACCACTACTCGACCTACCAAAAAATTATTTATACCACATTATGTCCCCCTTCATACTAAACGACTTTTATAAGAACATTTTTTTCATAACATCAGTTCCTTACGAGATGTTCCACCGGATCCAGTTGAAACGGACACCCTGTATGCACATACCCTTCAGTTCATAAACATTAGCACACTCATCGAACATGCAGCAAATGTGACAGGACATTAGGAAGTTGCTGTTAGTATGAAATACATATTGTTTAGGAGATATTGAAGCTCGACATAGAACGCTTATGCTATTAGGAAAGTGCATAATTTTTGCGAAACATCACATTTCCTCCATACAAACATCTCCGAAATCAGAAAACTCCGCACGTATCGGGCCAAGTGAAGAACCACAAACAGACATAAAAGACGGCGCGGAGTCAGAGAAGCTGGAGACAAAGCCGGTTAAGCCGAAATATTGTATAATCCCGTACGTTGATGTTACGACCAGGCTCGTCCTCGAGCAGCTGACGTGCGATGTCCTTGCAAGAGGTCCGCGCAGCAGGTGGCACCTTGCCATCGTCCTCCCAGTAACGGCTGACTGCGTGCGCGTAAAGCGCCGCGGGTGTCGCGTGTGTCACCCTCGTGGTCGTGACCAGCCCCGTCGATTTACCTGCGAACAGAAAAGTTTGATTATCGGCACCGCGATAAATCCAGCTGGATGGACGAGCTTTCGGTGCACGTGTTTCGTAAATCACTCGGCTGGATTCTCGCCGCGGATCGTTTGTCTTCCAACGGCTGACTTTATCGAGAACCACCCCTCAACCTCGCCACCTGCGCCCCCGTGGGTCCACGGGAGATAAACTCTTGATGGAGAGAAGCTGAATCAATTGATCGGTGTAATATCGTTCTTGAAGGTGGCGAGTATATATTTGGACCAGGGTTGTTAGGGCCATGTGTTTGGGCTTATAGCATCGGGAGGAAGGTCGTTTTTGTGAAAATCTTTTAATCATGCGCGTTTCTTTCTTTCTAGAGACTTGGGGGACAACTGGAAATTGTGAATGAACGTTGTCTGAAAAATGTTCCAGTCGATATCGCTGGCAACGGTAAGTGACGCGTTGTGAGCCTACACGCTGGATTGGGTTAGGTGTGGGTTACTGAGCGGTGATCCCTGTGGACCGGGGAATAGAGAATACGGCCACGGTAATCCCTGCCTGTCGTAAGTGGCGACTAAAAGGGAGAGGTGGAGACCGCGGGACTGTGGCACCCGCGGTCCAATGGGGGGGGGGGGGCTTCTTGCCTCCCCCCCGCCAGAGAGGGCGCTCCGTCAATGACATCTTGACGGAGCCGGCGCTGGGGAGGTACCGGTAGTGTTCGCAAGAGATCCCGGTGCCTCCCCGTACAGTGCCGAGCCCGGCCACCGTGAGGTTTTAGTGGGTATTCCTCCTGGGCATCCAGCCCAGGGGGCCAGTCCCACACTACCCCCGCCCCTCCCCCCTTGGGGGTGGAGCGGGGGTGTGCGTAACGCATTTCCTCACGTTAAAAAAAAAAAAAAAAAATGGTTCCGCCCGAGAAGGCTGTCGTAGGGGTTTTAGTGGGTGCGAGTCCCACACTACCTCGGAGTCCTACCCCAGGACTTCGAGGTGTGCATAAGGCATTTCCCCTACGTTAAAAAAAAAAAAAAAAAAAAGGTGTGGGTTACTGAAGTAGGCGATATAGCTCTCTCTCAATGATGACGTGACATACGATGAAACCCCCATTTGTACTGACTCGGTCTGTGGGTGAAACAAAGAGTGAGCTGGTACTCACTTCAGGAGACGAACGATCGGTTGCCCCAACGTCTAACTCCATAACTTATCAAACTAGGTAGGGATGGGACGATCCTAATGATTCTCCGCCCCCCTCACGAGTACTTCCCCACCTCCATGTGGCCCGGGCCTCGAAAAGTTGGGACAGTTGGAAAGTCTTGGGCCTTGGAGGAGTATATCGAAATTCCTTCTCCCGGGAGACAACGTTCTAAACTAAACTTAACTCGGTCTGGGTTAGGTGTGAAATTTTTTTAGGTTGCAATTGTGAATGAACATTGTCTGGAAAATGTGCCAGTCAGTATGGCTGTCAACGGTAAGTGACGCGTCGTGAGCCTACATGCTGGTGATATTATTGGTTTTTCTTGGCGGCTTCCTGGGAAGAAGGCTGTTTGCGTAGCATTATTTGCTTGCACTGCGTCACGCAATGTTCGTTCGTTGAGCCTTGCCGAGTTAAGGTTGATTTATATTATCCGTACAGACACGGAACGTATCCGATGAGACAGGTATTCTTCACTGCATTTAAATATAGGTGTTTATACGTACCGTACCGTATCGTATCAGCACGGACACGTATCGGTATAACACAACGGAAAACGTTTTTTTGATGTATAATAAACCATTGTTTGGTGGCGCTGTAATTGTAACATGTTTACCGTCAAGTGACTTTCTGTTGATTGCCTGATCGGATACCTCCGTTCGACGAACTGATATGTATACTCGTACCTGTGTTTGAACGTTGCCAATACGGAACTATTATTTGTCGGATACGGATAATATAAATCCACCTGTATTCTATAATACTTCAGCGCGGCGATCTTCAACTATTTGACGAATTGGTTTCATTCATTTCATTTTATTTAATTCATTAGTTTCACTGTGTCATTTATTGAGGCCGTGTATTATCTGAAAATTGACTGCAGTAAGTAGTATAACCCACCGCGCCAGACGTATTTCACGAGTACTGTACCCGTATTTTGAACAGTTAATAACTCGAAAACAAAACCTCGAACGCAATCTCGTCATTTTTTATTTTACTCTTAGCTTGGTGTGTAGAATCCACCAGATGAAAGTGTCCCACATTTTTATTAACACCCTGTGTATGTATCCACATAAGTCTTCGCAATTGAATAGGACTAAGTGTAAGTTGAAATGGAAATTAGATTTTAGGTGAAAAGAATGTTTGTAGTGTCACTTGATAAAGAAAAGCTATTATTTCTAAAAAGAGCAGTATAAAGGGAGGTATTGCACGAAGGACGGAAAATTCAATAAAAAGTCAAGTGACTGGAAGTTTCGCTTTAAGCTCAAGAGAACTAGAAAGACAGTTTGTTTGGAAAAAATTGAAAAGGAGGCTCGAGAAAGGAAAAAGGAAGTAGGTAGAAAGGTAACGGAAACTGGTATATTGTATACCTAATTTTACCGATTAGATTTCATCGTATTCTTTCATTGTAAAGGAAGACGGTAAACAAGATATACGATTACTTGTGATTCTAGAATTTCGAAGAAATAAGTGAAGAAATATACTTTCGTTTAAGACTTGTTCACAAAATGGATAAGCGAATATAGAAGTTGAAATTTTTTGAAAGAACACATTTCTGTAAATATAAGAATGAATTGGACATATGAAATTAACAAATATATTATACTAAAATGTAATGTAGTTTTCCAAGAGTCATGTAGAAGGATAAATTTTTCACATTTTACGTTCAATTCTGAATTTGCTATGCGGGCAATTTTATGTTGTATGAAGTTGTTAAGTGTTTTATGTCATTGTGTTCTTTTTACCGTTGGTAAAACATATGCAACATTTTCAATAAAGTAAATTGTTTAGTTGCAGAATTATAATCCGAATAAAAAAATTTGAAGATTGTTTGAACGAAGTCTATCTTAATATTTTTTCTTGGTGTATTCAATACTTAATTGAAACAATTTATTGTCGGGACATTGCTTGCAATATCATACAATACACTATATGTATACAGTGACTCGAGCAACCAGGCTAGGCTATAGCTTTCTTCCAAGTGAAGTTAGAAGAAAATTGTAGTGAAAAGTTTTGCAGTGTTTAACAAGCTCATGCATCCTATGGTACGATTTCTTTGGCAAGTGCATCAGTACACTTACAAGAAAGTTTTTCCATAAATTGATTTTTGAATAAATCTTAAAGGCCAACATGAATATACGTTTCCAAATCTACATGACAGTAACTCTTACACTTGTATCAGAACAACTTTCAAAAATGAAATTTTTGTAGCGACATGTTGTTTAAGAGATCATGCTTCAGCATGATTTACAGCTAATGCAGTAAAGAATTTCAGATTTCTAAGTGTCGAAATGAAAAACACAGTGTCCTCCACGACTGGATCAGTAACTTCTCAACTTATTCAGTCAAAGATATTATTAATCTTTCAAAGAAAGAGAAATAACAGTAAGGGAAAGGAGGGTCATGGCAAAAGGGGGTTCAAAGAAATCGTCGAGCCTTTTCATCAATGACCATTTTGAAATATGCGGTTACAGAAGATTTTTGTCAGCGTAGTTGGGATACTTTCGTTGATGGGAATTGTATTTTAATTAAGCGGTTATTTGTCGGACATTTTTGGCGACAGCGAGCGAATGTATCCTCCTCGGCAGATACGGATTAGATCGGTACGCGGGAATCTGTGTTCCCGGAGGGATTAGCAATTACGTTAAGTGGGCCGACGTTAGAACGTCCGGATGCTAATCGGATCGAGTGCGTGGATACAAGATCCTTCATTAAAGCGACGCTCTCCATCCTTTGATCTTGGTATCTGGACCTTCAATTATGATTTAGCATAACGGATTGACATGTCCCTGGACGCACTGGTTCGATTAGGGGTATTCGAAGGACATAAGGACAATTCGGTCTTCAATACTATTGGATCAGTGTAAAAGTCTTGACGTGTTTTGCCATAAAAATGTACACTGACACCATTTTTTAATTATAATTTAACAATAAATTTACAATGTACGTAACAAGTCATTTGTAACATTTATTTTCAATACAAATCTTTATTTCAGAAGACAAATTTTATGTATATCACTACTATTGAATGTATTTGCATACATTACGTTAATAAATTTACAGTGTGTTGTATATTGGAATTAACAAAGCAGCTTCTTTATACCGATCACAATTGATTTTTACGGAATTTGGAATGTTTATTGTACAAAACTCGTCTACAATTATGACAAGTAAATGGAGCCTATAAAAGGTTACACTGAATTCTGTTTTAAAACAGTAGAACGCACTCAGTTACGTAAATTTTTATTCTGAACAACAATTGACACATTGACATCGGTTCGTAATGCAATACATTAACGGGATCGTTTATTGCTTCCACAAAACCATGCCAGTAATATCATCTGCAGAAAATTCTTCAAAACTTTTATACTTTATATTATAGTAGAGTTATTACTAGACTGCGGATTTTTATGCAAAATGGTATTTTCTAAAGCAATGCATACAGAGTAGAGCAAATGTAGAAATTTGTTTCTTTTTCTTAAGTATCACATTAGGTTCGGAATAAACTAGAACACTGATTGGATTTGATGAAAGTTTTGTTTTTTATTGTATTTTGCAGACCTATATAGACTATAAATGCATCAAATCCGCAGTCTAGTCATTACTATATGTTATTGTTTATTATTATAGGGTGTATAAATATAGGTGTGTAAATAAATTTATGTGTGAACGTTTACTAATTTCCAGAAGGTAATTTTATGTGCGCATTAGGATCCTTATATCACGAGATACGTATTATTAGATGAAAATGCAATAAAAAAGATATAAAAACGGATAAAAATAGAAGCGTGTGAAGGTAATATGAGATAGATACGGGAAAAATATGTA